AACAAGAAAATTTTTAGTAGGTTGATGAAGCGATGCTGATGCCACATTGTTGCCATAATGAGGCCACAATGAAGCGAAGCGATAACCGCCTAACTTTTTAATGTCGCGACATTGATGCGACGATGAAGCCATAACAATGCCATAACGATGCGATGCTGAAGCGAAGCTGAAGTGAAGCCAAAGCTTTCGCGAGAACTGTACTGTATTCAAAAACCTAGATGTAAACTCGAGATTCATTGGCCAGTTTAAGCTTTTCCTCAAAAGTTATTTTCACCCAAATTAGTCTGCACTTTTTTCTTATATTCTTAATAACCCTAATTTTGAAGTCAACAGACAAAATTTTCAGTTTTTACTCGAAAAATTTGGTTATTTTTGTTCCAATCTTCTGAAGGAAAGTGCAGACTATAAACGGGACTACTTTGTGAAAGAAAGAGGGAACTGGTAGGGAAAAGGTTAAATGCTTCTTGCACAAAATGTGCTATCTCAATATGATTAAAACTGTTGACAATTTTGGCATCAGTCAATAAATTTTAAGGCTGCTGACTGTGATCATATTTATAAACTAACATGCCTGTGCATTATTTATGGAAATTTTTGAAAGTGCATGTATTCTAGGCGAGTGTACCGAGTAGACAATATAAGTAGCGCCCTCTAGTGTTGATGTTTTCTGAGGTCAAAATGATTGGTGAAAGTACAGAAAAACTATGTTTAATAGGGTAGTCCCTAATTCAACTTACCATTTTCTGAAACTGCTTAAATTAAGCCGATAAAACGAAGCCCGGCTTCAAACCATTCGATTGGATCAAAGTAGGTGAAGTTTACCCCATTACCTGCTGAAGTCAAAATGAATCGTCGTCATCAGTTGACGTGTTAAATCTGAAAACTGTGTATTTTCCGTACACCGTACATGCATCTGTATTGCTCTCAATACATGTACACAGATCTTGTCATAAGATATTTATTCTACCAAGAAATTTTAGAAAAAGTCAAATTAAATTAGAACACATTTACAAAAAATTTCTCAAAAAATTTTTTTTTAGATTGACGTCTACAGATCAAACCAATATTAACTTTGTGAACAGCCTTTGGTTCACTTCTCTACATCACTGGTTAATTCGTCAATAAAGAGCCCGATTTAAGGTCATAAGCCTAGGGATCTCCACATGTAAAATCTGGGAAAGTAACGGGTGGGCAAATACCCAATGACCACCTCAGAAAAGAATTTTTTTTTTTAACATTGTAACCATGTTACTATCCTCGTAAAAATATCCAAATTAAATCTTTCTTTCACCATGCCGGCCCAGGGGGAATATTACGTCTTATTGGAGAAAAAAAATTGCAAAATGAGTCATTATTGATTCTCACAACACTTTTACAATAGCACATTCAAAAAAATATGCACATTTCATTACAATATGATTACATACCGTCTGAATTTCATGGTGTGAAAATTATTAGGCTCTGTGTGGGGAAACAGTTGAAGGCAAGATCTTTATCGTTTTTCTTCGTTGTGATATGTTTCCGATCGCACACAAACTCTCGTGCAAAGCAATTTTCGTCATGATGTTTTTCAGCAGGATTTGAACTGAAACAACATCCTCTGACCTAACAGGTCAAGTCTGTCATTAGCCAATCAAAATTCTGTGTCATACAGACGAAATTTTCCGGAATTCTTTTTAAAGAAATGCAGAATTGAATTAAGGCGATGTTAAAGGTAAATTAGCACTGATGTCAACGAAAACAAAATGATTCCATCCCCCCTCCAAAAAACTGATGATTAGCAATTTTCGAACAGTAAACTGAGTGTGGAGGAAGTAGTTAACACCGTTCACTGTCGCCAAAAGGTCATGGTGAAGGACAGTTTACCCGTTCACACCCCATTCATGATAGTCTAAATGGACACTGATTACTCGGAAAAATAAAATTATGTCCAATGATCCCAACGTGGCGGTTACATTTTTTGGCACCAGTCAAAGAGATATAGATTACTTCAGTATTGCAACATTGGGTTTATACTTAGTAATAACATAACAGAAAGAGTGGGAACCATGTTGTGTTGTTCGCCATGCACTCTGAAATTAAGTTTTTTTTCATAAAAGTAAGAACCAAATAGCCCTTTGTCAAAAAAAGAACTACTGTACCAATCATGATTTTTATGCAATGAAACACAATTTTTAAATGCATATTTTAATAAATTTTAACCCATTGTCGGTGCCCGGTAAAAACTCCCTGGGGCGATAACCGAAGATGCCCTCAACTCATTAAATGTCTAAAAATAAGGGGTGGAAGGGGCTTATGACCAGGGAAGTACAGTAATATGTATTCTCATTCTCATTCTCATCTTGATCTTTACTTAGGTTCTGGATTCACGTTTACGCCTTCTATAGGCAGCACATCTTTTTCTTTTGGAACCACTGTCAGCTCTGCTAAACAAGACGACAAGAATGCTAAACTTCAAAAAGGTACTTTTGGGTCTTGCTCTCTTTCTTGTATACTGCCACTTACTTTTACTCAGCTCATGTTGATGCAAAGAAAACAATGTCATTTGTTTTTGTTGCATTTTTAGAAAACCAAAGGTCAGTCAGAATTTCTGTTTGTCGTATAAAGATTTGAAAATGATTTTTTTCCCCCTGGGCGGTTGAAATTTTAATGCTTTGATTGAGGGAACTGTTTTTAAACAAAAAAAAAAATAGTGACAAGTGCAAGAAAAATGAGAATTTAATTTTTTCTGTCTGATGTTTATAAGTTTTTTTAGCTCCGCTGTCGACTTTGTTGAGCGGAGCTTATATGAGTGTTTGTCCGTCGTTCGTCGTCGTCCATCGTTCATGTCAATGTTTTACTTTTTCGACTTCTTCTTGAAAACTTCAAGCCTGAATGCTTTGATACTGACACTGCACAGACCTGATAGTTTTTATGGTAATATCAGTACATATAATTACCTAATTATCATAATTAATTAATTTTCAGCTTTTGATATAAGTAGCGAGCATTACATTTCAATGAAACTTGGTACTTACATACTCAAGGACTATGCAGAGATTGATTGTTTCAGATAAATATTTGTGCATATTAATCACCTAATTTGCATAATTAACCAAGTTTAAGCTTTTACACTGATATCTAAAGTACCAATTATTCCATTTCAATGAAACTTAGTACAAAGATGCTCTAGGACAATGTACAAACCTAATTAGTTTGGGGTAAAAATCTGTTCATATTAATTCCCTAATTAGCGTAATAATTCACAATTTTTTGGTTCTAATCACATTTCAATTAAACTTGGTACATAGATTTTCTGTTACATTGCACAGACCTCATTAGTTTTACACTAAAATCTGTTCATATTAATTTTCTGATTTACATAATTAGTTTTCAGCTAAGTAATTCCGAATTCAATTTAATGTGTTACAATACTCTCAGCACATGGGAGTTCTTTCTAAGCTTTCTTTGATTCAACTTCTTCTTGAAAACTACAAGCCTGAATGCTTTGATACTTGGTGTATATGTACCTTGGGTAGACCTCTCTTAGATTTGTTCATTTTGTAATGATATCTTTAATTCTCTAATTTTGGTGAATATTTTTGTCATTTTTGGTAAAAAGTGATATTTTCGACTTTTTGTTGAAAACCGCAAGTCCAATTGCTTTGATATTACATATATAGGTACTACATGTGGTTCTAACTCAGATTTGTTCATTTCATGATGATATCTTCAATTCTCTAATTTTGATGAATATTTTTGTCATTTTTGGTAAAAAGTGATATTTTTGACTTGTTGTTAAAAACCGCAAGTCCAATTGCTTTGATATTACATATATAGGTACTACATGTGGACCTCTCTCAGATTTGTTCATTTTGTCATGATATCTTTAATTTTCTAATTTTGGTGAATATTTTTGGTAAAAGTGATATTTTCGACTTCTTGTTAAAAACCTGAAGTCCAATTGCTTTGATATTACATATATAGGTACTACCGGTACATGTGGTTCTAACTCAGATTTGTTCATTTCATGATGATATCTTCAATTCTCTAATTTTGATGAATATTTTTGTCATTTTTGGTAAAAAGTGATATTTTCGACTTCTTGTTGAAAACCGCAAGTTGATTGTTTTGATACTATATATATTGTTCGTTTTCTAATGATATCTTCTGTTTTTTAATTCAAATGTGCATTGCTAACAGCGGAGCTATCTCAGCCGAGAGGCTGCTTGTTGGTAAAAAGGGATATTTTCAACTTCTTGTTAAAAACCGCAAGTCCAATTGCTTTGATATTACATATATAGGTACTACATGTGGACCTCTCTCAGATTTGTTCATTTTGTAATGATATCTTTAATCCTCTAATTTTGGTGAATATTTATGTCATTTTTGGTAAAAAGTGATATTTTCGACTTCTTGTTAAAAACCGCAAGTCCAATTGCTTTGATATATTATATACATAGGTACTACATGTGGACCTCTCTCAGATTTGTTCATTTTGTAATGATATCTTTAATTCTCTAATTTTGGTGAATATTTTGTCATTTTTGGTAAAAAGTGATATTTTCGACTTCTTGTTGAAAACCGCAAGTCTGATTGCTTTTATATTACATATATAGGTACTACATGTGGACCTCTCTCAGATTTGTTAATTTCGTGGTGATATCTTCAATTACTTAATTTTGATGATTATTTTTGTCATTTTTGGTGAAAAAAGAAAATTTTTGAATTCTTGTTGAAAACAGAAAGTCCCGTTGCTTTGATACTATACATATTGTTCATTTTCTAATGATATCTTCTGTTCTTTAATTGAAATATGCATTGCTAACAGTGGAGCTATCTCAGCCGACAGGCTGCTTGTTTTAAAATGCAGCCAATAAAAGAACTTTCACGTCTATGTATGTGCTCATTGCTTACCATCTTAACAATGTTCTTTGAATTCTCCCACAAGACAAGATAAAACACAGAGACATATGTAATTCTCCCACACAGGGCCAGAGTAAACACAGACATGTGTAATATTCCCACACAGGGCCAGAGTAAACACAGAGACATGTGTAATTCTCACACACAAGGCCAGAGAAAACACAGACATGTGTAATTCTCCCACACAGGGCTAGAGTAAACACAGAGACATGTGTAATTCTCCCCACACAGGGCTAGAGTAAACACAGACATGTGTAGTTCTCCCTCACAGGGCTAGAGTTAGCAGAGACAGGTGTATTTCTCCCACACAGGGCTAGAGTAAACACACAGACATGTGTAATTCTCCCCACACAGGGCTAGAGTAAACACAGACATGTGTAGTTCTCCCCCACAGGGCTAGAGTTAGCAGAGACAGGTGTAATTCTCCCACACAGGGCTAGCGTAAACACACAGACATGTGTAATTCTCCCACACAGGGCTAGAGTAAACACACAGACATGTGTAATTCTCCCACACAGGGCTAGAGTTAACACAGACATGTGTAATTCTCCCACACAGGGCTAGAGTTAACACAGACATGTGTAAATGTGTGGGGGATACAGGCCAGAGTAAACATTACAGATTGTTTTCATTCATTACACATATGTTCTATATGTTTATTGAAATGTTATGTAGAATTCAATTCACATGTTATTTGTCATGTAAATTTTCAGATCCATAAAATGCCACAGTTGTCGCATGTTCATTATGTGGCATTATATGGCGGCAATCCATAGCATTGCCGTTTTATGCATATGTATAATTCAGTAAAATTCATTAGCAATTGTGGATGTTGTGGTAACTTGTGTTGGTATTATTTATGAATTACCTCCCTAAGCTTTATCTAATGTGAATATTATAAACTATTAACGTTAAGTTTGGACAAACAAAAAAGTGACATTTGTAATATTTTGACTAGGATTAGTCATCGTACATGATCAAAACAATGTAATTAATTATTGAATCTTATTCTCGTCTGCACACATTTGTATCTTTGGTAACTTGATTTACTGTAAAATACTTTATTTTTGCTTGGAATTTATTTTCGCTGTGGAGGTGATTCATTGAAAATAAAATCCAGCAAATATGTTTTTTTTTACTATATTTTACATACAACTCAGTCAAAAATCAGTGAAAATAAATTCCATACAAAACACCCAAAATGACTTTTCAGTGAAAATTAATTCCAACTAAAATAAAGTATTTGACAGTAAATGTACATTTGTAAGCTAAGTGCTATTTGCTTTCTTTTCTCAAAGATACCATTGGAACAAGTTCCGTGGAGGTGGAAAACATCACACCTCCAAAAACGCCACCTGTCACTGCGCCTCAAAACAAGACTGCCACACCCGGTGCTTTCTTTTTTGTAGGTGAGGTCAATTTCTTTTTCATTTTACCTGCCGTTCCCGGTTCCAGATATTTTTAGTTTCTATATAAGCACATAATAGGATTAAACCGTCTTTTACTTGAAAATAATTCCTGCAGGAATTCCCTGTATGTTTATTGAGTTTCTGTATTGAGTTTACAATGGTAAATACTCACAACTATTTGAATGAAAAATTGTTGCCACACTAACACTTTTATATTTTGACTATTCGGTGGTCAAATTTATTCTCTATTTTGTCTACGTTTTCATCAAAATCTGTTACCAATGAGAAATTATGTCCACTTGGTTCAAATCACCAAAAAAAATGTAGAAAAATACATGGAAATGTGCAAAATGTTGTGTTAAATGTTGGTCAAGGGTTGAAGATACAATATTAAATTTGTTTATTTTTTCTCAATCATTTGTTATATGGTTGCAGGTCAGCCTGATTCTACTGCTGGAAGTGGTATCGCCGAAGTCAGTACTACTACACCTGCAGTCACTGCTGCGACTGGTTCCATTCTATCAGGGAAACCTGTAACAGCATTTGGAAAACCACCTACTGCAACAGTAACAACAACTTCAAGTGCAGTAACTGCTGCTCCATCCACTAATACTGCAGTCCCAGAAACAGTGGCTGCAACACCAATAGTAGTACCCACACAACCGTCTTCCCTGACAGCGGTTCAGCCCTCATCAACCATATCTGCTGAACCACCAATAGCACTACCCACACAGCCGTCTTCACTGACAGCGGTTCAGCCCTCAACAACCACATCTACTGCAACACCAATAGTAGTACCCACACAGCCGTCTTCAACGACTGCGGTTCAACCATCATCAACCACAACTACACCAACGCCTGACGCCAGTGATGCAGCTGCCAAGAAAACAATATTTGGAAATGTTCTTTCAACTCCAAGTACTACGCCGGAGGTGACATCAACAGTAACAACAGAAGTCGCATCAACTAGTCTTTTTGGTACTAGCACCACTACAAAATCCACTAATGTTTCAATTGCAGGTTTGCTTGGTAAACCAACACCTGCAACTATGACTAGTATAGTTGGTCAATCAACAACAACGTCAACTGGAACTGTTCCTTTTGGCCAACCACCAACATCAACTGGCACTGTTCCTTTCAGCCAGTCAACAACAACTGCACCAGTTACCAATGTATTCGGACAAGCAGTTCCAACAACAGCAGCCAAGGCAGATGGTGGCGTATTTGGTCAAACAACAACTCCTACCATATTTGGCACATCCACACTTGGCAAACCAACGACTTCTCTGGCCACCACCACCACCACCACCACTGCAGCCAGTACAGCACCAACTTTGTTTGGTTCATCGTTTGGCCAAACAACCACTTCTGTGGCCTCCACCACCACCACTGCAGCCAGTACTGCACCAAGTTTGTTTGGTTCATCGTTTGGCCAAACAACCACTTCTGTGGCCTCCACCACCACCACTGCAGCCAGTACTGCACCAAGTTTGTTTGGTTCATCGTTTGGCCAGACAACCACTTCTGTGGCCTCCACCACCACTGCAGCCAGTACAGCACCAAGTTTGTTTGG